CATATGAAGTCAGAAAGAGCCTTCACAGCTGTCACTTGCAGTTCCTACCAAAGCGAAACACTTCCTACAAGGGAAGCACACATTACAGCTGAATTATAAATGAGGGTTGGTATTTTTGCGAGGTACAAATCGGAGGCATTCTCCATATTGTTAGAATACCAATTTTATTTTCCTGGTATGTAGTACCCAGTGCAGCGCGGCGTCCCCGGAGATGCGGCCATTCTCCGGAGATTACTTCAGCATTGCATTACCGCTATCACATATCCATTATATATACTCTTTCAGACAAGTGGAAATGTTTTCACAAAAACAATCTGGAATCTTGGCTTAAAACCCAAGTTTGCTGTCAAGACAAACAGAGTAGCCTCAAAGAGGACTTATTTTTATTTTGTTCAGACAAGTATGTTGTTTCTGGATTATAATAAGTGAAAATATAGCAGCTATCAGTCTTCGGTTTATTTGACAAGCTCCCTCTGACATACCTACAGGAATAAGCCCCGGCCTTGCAAACTCACTCTCACTCAGGTATTCCCTTTGGCTTCAGTGCTTTTATTAGCGTGATTAAGGGCCACTCTCATTTACAGGACAGAAGCCATAGGATGGGATGATTTATCTGTTCACCCATTCCTTATTTTGTAAAGTTTTAAAAGCCTTTGCTGTGCTCAGGGCTCGTCAGCATCAGTCAGAGCTCGTGTCCCATCACCTATCAAGCAAGGTCAATGAGCAGGTTATAATCAGGTGCCAAATAAACAAATGCAAACTTGAAATCAAGTGATTTACTGTCCATTTTCATTAAGCTCTTCCCAAGGATGCAAACACTTTATGCCGCACAGGGGACCTTTGGGGAGGGTCAGCTGCTATGCTGAAGTGAAGCGCAGTGTGATGCTTTTCACCCAAATGGAGTTTCACCATATTGAGCATAAAGGGAGGGCAGCCTGGCCTGGGGAGCAGCACACTGTAAACAGAGCTGTGTCTTCACCTGGCAGCAAATTCTCTGCTGCAAAGTGCGTGGAGTGTTAACATTTGTGTGCTTACGTTACTCTCAGTTTTCTTGCTTCTAGACGAGGATTTTCCTTCTATTGTAAGCTAAAAATATGTTGGGACATGATGGATTCTAGCTTCATTATGAACCTCAGCTCACCTTTCAATTGAAATTTCAGTTTGTGTAAGGATTCCAGCACGGAGCTGGATTGTTTGAAGGCAGCAAGACATGTCTGAAAGCATGCTGAGGTCTGGCCTTGATGGAAAATCAAGAGCCCAGTCCAAGCTTTGGGGTCTAACCCATTATATCCAAGGCTGGGTGGTTCTGGTGAGACTCTGAAACATTATCTTGGTCTTCTGCAGACTGCCGGGCTCCTTCCAGCTGGTCATATCCATCCAGGCTCTATGTGGCTCTGGGCAGCCTGCTCTAGCAGTTGGCAACTCTGCACGTAGCAGGAGGTTGAAACTAGATGATCGTTGTTGTCCTTTTCAACCCAGGCCGTTCTATGATTCTGTATGTGTGGTTTATAGCAGCATGGGCTGAGCTGCACATCCGGATGCGATCGGAAGAGGGACATCAGCGGGCAGAGCAATGGGCTGCCCTGAGGCACACAGAGAAGACTCTCCAGAGTTTGATGGTATAAATCAGATTGAGACTGTGCTGAAGCGCTGTTTAGGAAAGACATGTCACTTGGAGCACGCAAAATATTGAGCAACTTGAATTGTTTTTCCACGAAGCTTATCCCTTGATAGCACTTTCCTCTCTTATATCTCCTTAATACAGCATAATTTAAATGTTTTCTAGGCAGAGTTATGCTTATACTGCTTCTTTTCCAACGTAATATTGGCTGTAATATAGATGTATTGGCAAGAAGTCACGGTTTGCTTCTTTGCCATTTTGTGAGTTTCCTAATCCAAAACAAGAATGTAGAACTTAACTTACTCTGAAATTTCGCAAATGCTTCTTACAAACAAATGGTTTATACACAGTTTTTCTGTGTTTGTTTTATAAATTGTTCCATTCCCATATCTTAGAAAATTTCCCAAATGAGACCGAGCAAAAATTTTTTTCACCCTCTCTTTTTTCTTTTTCCTAAAGGTTGCATAAATATTTCACATGTATCTCCCTTTAATTAGATTAAAAGATTGTAAAGTGGCAGAGAGTTTTCTCTTTCCCCAAATTAGACATGAGAACCACAAACAAATTAATTTGTGTCTCAGGGTTCTGACTGGGCCTCTTGGCCTCCTCCAGCTCTAACACAGGCACTCGTGACCCTCTGGATTTCAAACGCCTGAGGGTAAAAAGCAATTATAAAAACATGACTCTCCCAGATCAGCTTTCGAATCTGCCTTGTCTCTGTTTTATTGATGGGAGATTGAAGGAAGATTCAAATCAGCTCTCCTTCAATTCTTTACCAGCAGCAAAATGCAGAAATCATTTGCTTTTTCTTTATAAATGACTTTGTCCTGCTTTATTATTCTGGGTATTTGACTTAACAAGGCTATATTGAATATTTATTTCTAGTTTTCCTATTTGTAAATATTCATTGCTTTGCCCCTTGTTTTCTTTTTCAGAATATTTTTTTTTCACAGCAATTAGAGCAAGAACTAATTAATACCGGTATTTTTTTAATAGCTAAGGAATGCACACTCACTCAAATTAGGATGATCTTTTTCTCATTGGCCTGTCATTGGGACCTTAATGCACAACCATATTAGAAAACTAAAACAATTAAGTATCTGGTAGCTTTTACTTCTCTGCATGATTACTGATGATCATGTTTTTGTATTTACTGGTATGGTTGGGGTGAGAACAAACCATTAACTTTAAATCCTAGCAGCACTGTGCACATATACAAAATCCAATCATTTCCCAAAGAAAGGAAGGAGGAGAGGTTGGCACAGAAGTTGGGAAGTACAGGCATGGGGAGTAGTCAGGCTCTTTGTTTGCACCCAACCTAACGTAAGACATATGGGTGGTGATGTCTGAGCCTGAGAGGAGACTTTGTGTGAGTGCCGCAAGGGCAGCCTCTATTTTTCTTCTTCTTTTTGGAATAACGTGGTTTTGGCTTTGGTTTCAGGCCAGGTGGAGGGCAGGGTCCAGCTTGCGAGGCGTTTGCATTCCAGATGAATGCAGTTGTCAGATGAATATCATAGAATCATAGAATCATGGAATGACTTTGATTGCAAGGGACCTCGAGGATCATGAAGCTCCAAGCCCTCCGTCACAGATAGGGCCGCCAACCTCCACATTTAATACTAGACCAGGCTGCCCAGGGCATACCAGGGAATACAAAGGGCTAAGGGCCAATGATGGGGCCTTACAATTTTGTGCAAGTGAACATACCCTTCAGCCCACATGTTGCCTTTCTGAACACTACTGGGGTGGCATTGCAGATAAAAATGCCTTGTAGCTCAGATGGTGGCTTGTTTAAATGATACAACACAGACATTCAATTTTAAGAAGCTGGAGCTTTATTTTTGGAATCCTAGAATGTGTACAGAATTTAAAAAGCCTAAAGCTATAATGTTTTACTGCTCCTTTGATAAAATTTATATTTAATCATATCTTAAAAACTGTTCTCATTCTGCCACTTGATGTTACCAACCAAGCGGAACCCATCAATGCAACACTATCTATCAACTCTTCTTTTATTTCATTCTCCTACAACTCCTTTTTAATGGTATATACGTTAATGAATTACAGTGGAGTTTCTGTGAAGTGCAAATGAAAATTATGCTCATACCAAGAGTGGAACCATTACCCACGGATTCTCTGTTACTCTGTTGGAAACAAAATGCTGAATCTGACCCATTTATGCTGCCGAACCTCCAACATGCAGAAGATGAGATTTCCAAAAGTTGTGATCTGTGGCCATTATTCAGCGTCTTCAGATCTTAGGAGGAAATTCAATACCCACAGGGTGATGAGGCCCTGACTGTGCTGCCCAGAGCTGTGAGCGCCCCATCCCTGGATGTTTCCAAGGCCATGGATGGGCCCTGGGCAACCTGAGCTGGGAGAGGTGTCCCTGCACACAACAGAGCTGGAACTGGATGGGCTTTAAAGTCTTCCAACCCATCTCTTCCCATGATTCTATGATCTTCATCTAAGCTTTTCACTAACTTTTTTTTAGGACACACTTCCTGAAGAGGTGGGGGCATTGTGCATGCAGTGGTTCACAGCCCAGGCTGATGAGGATGAGCAACTCATTGGTAGCTTGGCTGAATTTCCAATGATGCCTATTTGCTGCTGGCAATTATGGGATTACACAGGGATTTGTGCAGTGAGATACCGATCTCTTTATCAAATTTGTCTCTTTAAAACAGTAGTTAGACTGATTAGAATCTCTGCTAAACTCTCCCTACAGCTACACCTGTTATCTCTGCTGTTGTAATGCTGTTGGATGTGCACTTCTGGGGGTAGACGGTGGCGTTTGGTGATGCACTGTGCATGTTCCATGCAGCATGAATGAGTTAAATGCGTTTCTCTCCATTTTTTTTTTTCTTCAGAACTGAAACATGTCCAGCAAAGTTGGTGGTCTCCATAAGAAATTCAAACTCTCTGCTGACCAAGTGAAAACACATATGTGAATGTATCAGGCATATACATAATCTTGGCTGAAAGTCAGCACCGGTGACAATTTCACTCAGTGGAATCTTAATTTTGATCCCCACTCTTAAAAATCATGTTTGTGTCAGGAATTTTACTTAGAAGACCTTTTAGCCTTTTAGTATCAGGCTGATTTCTCAAGTTGTTAATAATTTTGTTACAATATGAAGACACTCTATTTTTAATCCTGTATAAATTTGAATTAAAAATCACATCCATTCAGTATAGTGAGCCAGAACAATCTTTTTCTTTTTCTCTTTCTTTTTCTTTTTCTTTTTCTTTTTCTTTTTCTTTTTCTTTTTCTTTTTCTTTTTCTTTTTCTTTTTCTTTTTCTTTTTCTTTTTCTTTTTCTTTTTCTTTTTCTTTTTCTCTTTTTCTCTTTCTTTTTCTTTTTCTCTTTCTTTTTCAGAAGTATCCAGTATGGACTACAGCTGCTGAGAAGACGCCAGACTAAACGGACCATTGGAAATTGCACGTGCCGATATCATTCCTTTAAATAGGAATGATTTGCTCTTATGCTTGATAAACACATAAGTAGAAGCCTAGTCTTTTCATTTCTGCCTCTTTTCCTGGAGGGCCAGGGGATCTCCCAGTGCTGTCTGTTCTTTTCCTCTGTGTTTTGCAGGCAAGGGAATCTCATGCAAGCCTCAGCTCCACATCCTCTGAAGAGGCAACATTAAAGTCAGCACTTGACTGCACTGAATTTTACAGGATTTTCTCCCAAGTATGATATCTTTTAAGTGAATGGAGTAATTGAGGAATCTTTCTCTAAATTATTGACTGGGTGTCTGGAGAAGAGATGAATGAGAAATATCTTTATTCCTGCAAAAGGTTTAGGTGCACTGAGTTAATCTTGTGCCTTCTGATGTGACCCTTTCTGAGTGTTATTTAGGAAGAACCCTTCATGCTAAGCCTGTGGGGACACTGCACGTGTGTGAGGAAGAATAGACTAAATTTTGGTGCTAGACACTCGAGATTTTCCACGTTTCCAATTTTCTTTTCTTCTAGTTAGTCAGGAGACAGAAGCAAGAGGAGGGAGCTGAAGAACAGACATTATAACCCGACATCGCCCTGCCTTTCCGTTCACAGTCTCCTAGTATTTGGCAGTAATATTTATGCTGTCTTAGGTAGAAAAGTTTGGGGGTGAGCAACGGGAGGAGAAGCTGCTCAGAGGCATTGCATTCAGCAGGAGCTGAGCTCTGGGAGGGCTGGGAGGGCCTGCAGTGCCGGGTTGGCTCAGGGAAGTTGTGCCATGAATGCACCCAGAGGGAATGTGCATTCTGGTTGGAGCGGCTTGGGAAGGCAAAATGCATCTCAGCTCACTGCCAGGCTTATGTGTAGGCAGCCTGAATTTGTTCTGGAGGGAAAGAAAGGTAAGGGAAAGCATGTATATAGCTCTGCATTTATAGAGAAAGGCTAACAGGAAAGAGAACGCAGACACTGCAATGGGTTTTCTTCTTCCAGCAACGTCTCCAGCATCGCTTGAGTGAGAGAAGGGGACTGTAAGTATCTGTTTTTCTGTAAAAAGAAAAATTATTTGATACAAATTTGATCACACTGGTAAGGATTAAAGGCTGTTTGCTGCAGAATGTATTCTCTTCTTAAGAAAAACAAATGGAAATCATTTATAGATAGCTTTGAAATGCTTTCCCAAAATTATTTTCCTGCTTTGTTTTGTTTTTTCTTTTTCTTTCTTTTGCCCCTCATGTGCCACTAGAGATCAGCATATTTTTAGGTATTTAAGCAATCATTATGCCAACAGAGGGGCTTAAATAGGGATACAGCATGACTATTGAGCAGGGAAATTGCTCATGACTGGCAAAACAAAACAAATAAAAATCAGGCCTGAAGGCATTCTGAGAACAACTTTTTGCATCCAGTCTTCATATTCCCCTGCTTTCTCAGAGGTCTGGGGCAAATCTCTCTCTTTCCATTATACCAGGTTTTTGTTGTTGTTGTTGTTTTTCTGATGACACAGAAATCAGTGTGAAATATGGGAGCACACATTTCTAATTTTATTACTGCTTTAATGCATTCATTGCATTATTGGATCCATGATTCTGTATAGGCATCTTCAAGACTGAAAACTAGCAGGATCTTCTCCAACTTCCAGGTTGCCACAGAAAATTAAAATAAATATAGATTTTTACATTTTATCAATTTCTGGTTCTGTGAAGCCTGTCCATTTCCTCACTTTTACAAATCGACTAAGCTTTCCATTTCATATCTGAGAGGGCTCAGGAGACCCGCAGGCGAGGCTCCTGCCTTTGAAGATGTTCTCTCCTCCATGCACACGCACACTCACAAGTTCACGCACACTCTTGTTGCTCAGTTTGCTGGTCAGCCCTTCCAAGTAATTAATGTTTGGCAATCACCAGTCAAAGAAGAGCTCATCATTTTTCTGATTTTGGAAGATTTCTCATGCTGAATGGAGCTTACTAATCCTGTGCTGGCACACAGTTCTACAGGCTTTGTGTGCATGGCTTGGAGGCGATTGCCAGTCAGACCTGGAGCATGGTGACGTCCCCAGTCCGGGAGTTACTCACCATGGGGCAATCCCATTGCTGCCCTGTTGTCCCCTAACAAACTACTGATCAGGTTTAAGGTTACTCTCCTTCTGACATCTCCCCAAAGGATTTCATTTTCATACATGGGATAGCTCAGCAGTAAGAGTAAAATTAGGAAGCACATATTGTGGTTCACACAAGGGCACCTTCTCTTCTTCCCAGGCTTTTGCTTACCTTCATGCCTTGAGTTCAGGCACAGCAAGACCCATGAAACGTTCATTCACACTTCACAATTCCAAATGCCTCTTGGCTTTGTCAGCTTGTCAGGTGCTGGATTTCTGCAGGAAAACTCCTCAGAAAGGAGTTACTGTGACAAACTTAGCTTCCATCAGGACAGCATTCAGTCAGCACCTTCCATGGGGTCCTGGTGCAGATGGGCACAGAAGATGGGGAGCAGCACCCAAGGACACCTGGCTTTTTGACCTCTGTGCTTACAAGAAGAAGTAACTGAACTAACACGATTTTTTTTATTATTTGTCAGGTAATATTTTTGAGGCTTAGCACCAAGAGGTGGTTAAGCTGAAATTTTACAGGCACTAAACTGTTTTTGCAAATGCCAGTGAGGCAGCTCCATCCCACGCTGAAGGCTATGTCCACTGTGGCTGTGGGATGGGGATAGCAGCGAGGTGGTCGAACCAGGGGGGATGAAGCAGGGACTTGGGATGCAGGCAGCCCCAATGGGCTTTGGAGGCAGCTCCCATCTTTGCTTCTACAGATTTCAGTCACACTGTCCTTGTCAGAGACTTCTGCCTCAAAATGAAATGTGATCAATGAGCATTTGCACTCTGTAATAATTGTGTTTTCCTTCGGAGCTTGTTACAGAAAAGCTGACTCTGTCAGCACATCCTAAAGTGGGTTTCCTGCTTAAAAACAGGAGTGCCAACAGAAGAGGTTAGGGAGATTTGTGCTGCTCTGAAATGGAGTCTCTAGGTGAAATTAATGTATTAAATTTTCAAGGTAATTGTAACTTCTTGCCTTAAAATGTTTTTAATACTCTCAAGATGAAACATAGATATCTTTTCAAAACTTTCATGGTCAGGCTTCTCTCTAATATCCACAGCACTAATTTACTGGGAACATTAAGTAGCAAGAACTCCTTTTATTTGATATAGGTTTTTACCAAGGACATAATGATCCAAATCAAGAATCCATGGATCTCCTGCAAAACTCCTTGGATTTTGAATCACTGATTAAAACAAATGTGAGCAAAGGACAAATAAAAATGTTAGCATGCAGTTGTGCAGGAGAATCCTTATCTCTTCTGCTTTTTTAACTAATTGAAGAAGCTAATTTCAAGCAAAAACAACACAATGCTCACTTGGATGAAACAGTTTCCAGTACTAACAAGGGAATTCATGTAAAGGTAATGGTTGCAACTTGTTCTGAGTCCTTGCAAAAAGAAGCGGAAAGAAAATATTGATTGTTCACTGCTAACAAAAAAGGAAGAAAACAGAAAGAGGAGAGTGAGATAAACCAAGTGTTTTCACAAAGCTCTTTTTGGTCAATTTTGGACGTAATTAGAGAAGTAGCTTGCAAGGCTGGGAAAAGCTACACAGCCAAGTGAGCTGAGCTCTGCCAATGCCTGGGTCCATTTCACGAGCAGGGTTGTGACTTGTGAGAAGGTGCATGCACACCTGGGGGGAAAAGGAGATTGCTGGGTGACAGAAGGCTTTGCAAATGTCTTATCAGCATCCAGACAGTTGCTTGTGAATCTGGTTTGTCTTTATCTGACGTTTCTGTCATGGAAGGGGAAAAACCAGCACCCTTCATTAGCCTTGTAAATCCTGGCCTGGAACACCCCATGCAGCTTGCTCTCAAGACAAGGAATCCTCCAACTGCACGTTTTCAGTCAGTCCTCTCGATCCCTGCTCTTGCTATTCCCCAAAATCTGCCAAGTCTGTTGAACTTCCTCAGAGTGACCCTCCCGTTTAATTCATGGGCCGTTTCGTATTTACAGAGAGGTCAATAAAAGCTTTCCAGAGCTGCAAACCCCTCTGTAATGGTTGTCCTGAGCAATACAGCCTGAAGAGCCCCAACAGGAAATTGGTAAAGCAGCAGCCAATTTCCTCCTGCTCTTTTACTGCCGTTTGGTCTTCCTGCTCTGCTCATATCCCCACTGCTGAATTATGCTAGAAATGGTGGGAGATTTCCAGCGCCACGTATGCAGGAGAGCTCATGTCATTCACAGAATTTTATGTGAGGTTAATCAAACATTGGATTTGTTTAATTAATAGTAGCTGTTAGGTGAAAGCTGAGTTCGGTGTCTGGTCCCATTTTGTTTCTGGCATTGTACTGATCTTTTGTTACCCATGCTTAAAATGAGGGCAACGTCTGTGCACGTTCCAGGCTGTGGTTTCCAGACACGGGGAAATCTTTGGGTGTAGGGAGAGATGCAGTGCAGTGACAGCCCTCAACTTCTGCCCTCTGCTCCAAGAAAAGAATATCTTCTTTGGAAGAGTGAGGAGAGTGGTGTTATGAAGCATCTTTGGTTAGTAAAGGTGCTACAAAGGCTGCAGTGGAACTGGCAACAACTCACTGGAGCAGATCGGTTCAGTAAAACTGTTGGTACTGAGTACCAGATGTTCTCAACAAAAGCCTTTCCAAGGTGATCGTGATGACAGCGAGCCCAGTCCTGCAAACTGCAAACCCACGACAGCCTAGAACACGTCTTCTGGTTTAGTTTCACTCAAAAGAGATGCAGCCTGTGTGCTCCACGCTGGCTGTGTGATGCCAACCCAATCGGGGACATCTGGGAGGTGGCCTTCAAAAGCGTATTCCCAACCCGAGCTCCATCAATTGCACTGATGCACGAAGGGACTTTCCTTCATTGAGCTCGGTGGCACACAACTGCTGCACCCCGCATCCCAGGAGAAGAGCACACAGCTCTAATTTAGATGCCTGGGCTGCCTCTGCAGTGCCTGGGGAGTGTTTAGCATCTTGGAAAGCCCTACTTACCTGTGACAGCAAAGGTCCTGAGTGCCCAAAATAATCAATGGGATATGCGAATGCTACAGCACCTAAATCCCACACCTCCCCGAGCCTTCCTCTGTGCCTCACAGCCTCAGTCCTTTGTCTAAGGTAGCTGTTTACTTGTCATCTCCCCCAGGCAAAGGGATGGAAGGCTGAGGAAACTGTAGCAATTGCGTGTGCTTTCCTAAATGATCGCAGCACACATTTTGGTCTTCACACTTGTAACTTGTCTGTGTTTCCTTCAATGGCTGGTAGTTCTAAAAGAAATAAAATAGCTCTCGAATTTGGTAAAGCTCTCCTTTCTCTCAAAGAAACACACTAATTGCTTATAGCCATGCATTCCTAGCTGTAACGATGTCATTGTTTTCTGAAAAGTAGAACATTTCCAACACAAAGCAATTGTTTTTAACCCAAACAGCTGAAAGAATCACTCCAGAAGTTAAGAGAGCAGTTTGACTCTCCTTTTCCCTGCTGGGTGTGAACCCTTTGTGTACCAGGAGGGGTTCCTCCCCAGGTGGCCCTGGGAAGAATAATCCCACCTGGGGCTTCCATTTTGGGCACCTGGACGCAACGTAGGGACTCAGAGCATGAGAGCAAAGCTAAACTGGGAACCAGGAATGATTAAACTGGGAGCGTTAAGGACTTCAGTATCAGTTCAGGACTGTGCAGGTAAAGAACTTTTGCAATTAAAATTAACGATAAAAAAAATCAGATTATTAAAGAAAAAATACTGGTGGAGCAGTACCATTTAGATTAACTTTGCTTTGTGCGTGGATGCAATGCAGAGTCACGGTTGAAGCTCTCCTGCAGCACTCAAGGCCACTGGCTCTGATTTTTCAAGCCTCAAAAGAAAAAACAAATCCGAATAACGGTGCTTGTGATTTCCTGAATTTATTCATTTATGGAAAGAAATGAAGCACAATCGAATCTCTCTCGTGGAGAAGATTGCAGTCATAAACTCTTAAATGATTGGATTACCTGTCTTGTATCGTATTATCTTTTGTGCTAGTTACGTATTGTTTCAAAGCTACAAAAATAACAGCTCTTCTGTTTGAAATATTTTTCTTAGCTTTGCCTCTTGGTCATAAAATGTAATCTGATACTTTTTTTCTTGAAAGGTTCCTTGTAGGTTTTAGCTGTTCTTTAAGTTATGCGCTTCAGTCTCAAGTTTGATTTTTGTCAGTTAACCTCACACCTCAAATACAGATTTTCTCTCCAGGCTACCACTTTGATTCTTCTAGTCAACCCCAAACTTAGCAAAACTACGGATGTGCATATTCTCTTTTTTTAACCATAATTATCAAGTTTGTTCATTTTTTTTTTTCTTCTCCCCTTCAGGATCTTTCTGGCAAGCATTGCACTCTCCTGGGTTTCGATGCTGTGAGAATTACAATTCATCCAGAGTTCAAGCCTTTGGTTAAGACAATGTCCTCAGGGTTATGAGGTATGTTAAATGGCAGAAGAAAAAGCTACTGTTCTGGTTCTCCTGCTCAGCTGCATTGCATCAGGTGTACTGTGGAATAGCTAATCCCATTCTATTTAGACATCCAGACCTCAACTCCACAGAGGTCACTTCTGCAACCCAGCAGAGCTTTGTGGGCTTTCCCTTTGACCTTGGCCATGTAGAAGCACCAGGACCTCACACGCAATTAAAAACATGGGGTAGGAGTACCACAACTCAGTGTCAGGCCCATTCTTTATTCCCTTTTCTCTGGAAGGAAATGACTGGAATATGACTCAGCCCTCTGCTAATCCCAGAAGTAGGTGAGATCAATCCCCGTGTAAAGGCATGGCACCTCCCACAGCTCTGCTTCTAGACATGGTGCTTGTGGGTTTTAGCAGCCTCTAGTGAAAAGACAAGGAGAAATTCTTTGCTGTTTTTTTTTTTTTCTTTTGTTGTTTTTGTTTCATACTTTCATTTTTGTTTTATCCATAAAGACTCCTTGAAGCTGAAACACTTTGCAGAAGCACCCATTGATGCCCAGAAAGAGGAGCACTTTCTATTTAAGTCAGCAGCTTGCTTATCTTGTAGACTGCCAGGGAGACCAAGCCCATGGGTTACAGCTTTTAGAGGCCCCTCTACATCACCCAGCTCTCCCTCCATCAGCATGGGGCTGCCAAGGGCTGTATTGAACCCATCTGAAGTGAGGCCTCAGCTCCCAGGAGTGCCCCAGCCTCTGGTCAAGCAGATCCCATCCTGTTGGCTCCTGGCAGATTGGGTATTCAACAAGCTTCACAGACCCATCACAGGGGCCCTTTCCTATTTCTTTTTAAGGAAACATTCTGATATGATATTTTCTCCCTCTGTGGGAAATGTCAACATTTATGAAATGGGAGCAAACTGTTTAAATTTTTTATAGACTGAAAAGATTAAGCTTTGGCCAGCTCTCGTCAAAATTTCCCTGGTTCCCCATAAGCAAATGAATTTGAGTGAAAAAGCATCGTTGTCTGTAGTGCTGCACAGAGAAAGCCATCAACTTGTTCCCTGCAGTCCTACCTTGTTACTTGAGTATGCATGGGAATCTGAGGTGTGTCTTTATAGGTCTGTATTTCCACGACCTCCAGTATTCTTTCTCTCATTTGTTATTTTATCGTGTAACCTGGATAGAGCTACAATTCTAGTGGCACTTTAAAACACTATTGCTTGTATATGCTCCAATTGCAGCTCTGATGAAGCAGATGAGATAAAGCAGTGTTCTCATCTCTGCATCTCAGACACAATAAGGACAGATAAAGAAATGCAAAGACCATTGCAAAACACTGTTTATTACTATTTTCAGTGGCAGTGAGTACTCCAAATGAATCTCTGCACAGCTGAACTTTTGCACAGACAATACTGCTGGGACCTCAGCCGACCACAGTCAGCTCATTTTTGCATCTGAATCCCTAAAAAAAGAACACCCAGACTTTTAGGGTGGAATTCATTTTAATCAAATATTTGGGTCTTATGCTGCGGCTTTAAAATAATCACTGTCCAGTGGAAAGTGATACAATATGGCACACTGAAAAACATTCCCAAATTCACCGGAATGCAATCACTGAGGAGTTCATTTTCTGTAAGGTCTTAAAACACAACCATGCAGTAAAAAAACTTTATTTCATTGTCTGGCTATTCTGCCAAGTCCGTTCCTTCCTGGAATGTTTATTAAATTTAGTTTCATGTGGTCTGTAAATATATATACATATATGCATTCATATCTGGTCTCCTCTTGCCTCAGGAGGCTGGGTGGTCTGCAGCCTGCTTTGGGGGAATTAGTACTAGCGCTCAAATTTTAGCTACATGCAAAGATGTGACAAAACAAATTTGCTTTCCCTGTGGGAGCTTTGTCCTCCCTGTGGATGACTAAATCTAGATTACATAGCTCGTGCCGATAAAAATGCAACAATCTTTTCTTTCGTTATTATTTTTGTGTTTGAGTTTTTCTTTCTTTTTTTTGTTTTCTTTTTTGACCAAGAGCACGGAGTATTGACTTGATGATTCCAACGCAGCTGTCTGGCAGTGTTAATCAATGATCTCTGCTTGCTCACAATGTACTACCAGCGTTAGATCATGGTGACAAGAGCAGTACAAGCTTA